AACAGATGTAGTCTAAAAGACTGGCAGCCGTCGAAGGCTATTGCTAAACGAATCCAGAAGAGATTTTCTTGCCAACTGGCTGCTAGCCGTTAGGCATTTTCTCTCTCTCTCTCTTATATATATATACGCAGAGAAAAATCCCCCTTTATTACGAATGCAATTCGACGTCTACATGTTCAAAAATGATGAAAAAAACATTTCCGTGTACCAATTTTGAATTCACTTTTGTTGCGGTTTCACACTCGAACAATTTATATTGAAAAAAATTCAGCAACGTGACCATTAACCTATTTTTTATTTTTTTTTTTAAACATTTATATTCAGGACTGGAATTTTTTGTTTTAAAAAAATTATAGTATATTTTTGAATAAAATACACGACTTCATATATGATGGTGATGTTCACAACGTTTAACGATTTTTGAAGAAATATTTTTTCGAATGGAAATGGTCATAAAATGTTTCTAAGTTCTAATAAAAAAAAATAATTAGCTTTCGAAAATGTTACAAAATAAGTAATTCGAAGAGTATGATAATTTTTTAATCTTGAAAATTTAGAATTTGAAAATTAGAAAATGTAAAGAACATTTTTTTTTTGCAAAAGTTATGATGACAATTTGCTCTATAAATATATTGTAGTAAACCACTTTTGGGACAAATCAACAAGTGCTTGGAGGGTTTCTCTCTAATATATGTATATATAGTCCCGAGGTTTTTTTATGCGGGTAAAATGGCATTCTCCTTTAAGATTTAACATGAGGATTGTCTTAAACATTCCAAGGTTTGCAAGTGTTGTCTGATTTTTTTTTATGCACGTTACGTATATCAAGTTATTAACGACCCTGAATTCTAATTCACTTTGCACAGTCGAGGGAATAGAGCTCGTTAAGACCCGTAGTTTGTAAATAATTTGCCGATTCGTTGGCCAAAACCCCATCCCGCAAATTCATTATATACGCTAACGTCCAAATCCGGTTGGGTTTTTCTCTTCCCTTCTTTCCAACTTTTTACCCCTCAAGCCATACTTGTTCCTAATTTTCCTCTCCTTTTCTCCTTGAACTTTATTTTCTTTTCTCATATATATTTAAAATTTGAATAAAAGAGAGAATAAGTGAAATTAGGTAAAATTTCAACTGTATAACGAGTTTTCCTTCACTGACAGAAAATTTTTCTCTCTAATAATTTTCACTATGTCATAACTTATTTTGTACGTTTCTTTTAAAATTAATTTTTAAAAAATCATTTTTTTATAATCCTTTCTCTTGAATAAACATTTTGTATTTCTTTAAAAAAAAAATGATTATCCAAAGCAAGTTGAATTATTTTTGTTTTCTTTTTTTTTCTTTTTTTATACTCAATCACGACACAGACATACACACAGATGAGAACAGAACCATTTTCTTGCTTTGTTTATTAACTGTGCTTTGCAATCTCATCCTCCCGCTTCTATTTCTCCTTTCTGCAGGTTCCCCAGATTAAACTCTCTTTATTCATATACGCAATCCGATCTTTTATGAACGGTGCTATTTTCAATTTCTATCTTCTCCCCACTCAACCGTTGTATATATATATATATGTACCATCGCACCAGATTATATCTCTAAATTGCATACCTCGGCCGCCATATTGCTTTGGTGCAACGGGGTCGCTCGTAACCTGTTTATTGGAGGTAAATTTAATAAAGGTTCAACGGCGTCATGGCGATCTCTTCGTTAAAGGAACGGTACACAAGCTGATGTGTTATACGTATATAAAGGGATATACTAGATTTGTTTAATTTTATTTTCTCAAAAAATCAATACACATTTGCTGTTTTTATATAAAATTTCTTTTGTTTTTTGAAAAATGTTTATTCACATTAATAATAACACAAAATAAATTAAAAAATACTAAAAAGAAAATTTGAATACCTAATTTTTTTTTAACAAATTTTTTTCGTTTTATTTTGCAGAAGCTCACCGAGCATTGGAATTGCTGGAAGACTATCATGCAAAATTAACAAGACCACAGGACAAACAGCTGCGATTGGCAATTGAACGTGTTATCAGAATTTTTAAGAGCAGACTCTTCCAGGCGTTATTAGGTATGTTTGCATTATAAAATTAATTATTATATAGGATAGGATTATTTTAAAGTTTCAAACGAATATACTAATTATTTAACTATGATTATTCTGCGTGATACATGCAATTTAAAATATTTTTTTAGTTCTTTTCTATTTTTCAAAAAGCGATTCGTTTCCTCCCACCACCCCCTTTCTTTGATCACACAATTGAGTTCTTTTCGCAGTTGACTTTCATTCAGAAATAAACGATTGTAATTCAAGTCTCTACTCGAATTGCATTTAAAACAAGGATTCGACATGTATAACTAACAAAAGCGATGAAATTGAAACGCTCCTGGAGTGATGTAAATGAAATCGTTTGATCTTTAAGAGATTTTTTTAGATTTGCCTTTCTCGCAACCAATTTTAGTTATCGTTTGTTATACATCTTTGCACAATAGATTTTGTCGCTTTTATTCTTGTATGTTGTTAGGATTGTAAATTTGGACTCGTAAAATTGAATAAAAGCGAATTAGAATTCTCTAAATGAGAATTTATTTTCTTTTTTAATTCATCTTGTAAGTAATGTTGATACTGAAGGTGTATGTTTGGCAAACATTCCACAATTTAACGTTTCTGTTGGTTTTCTCTCAATGATTCGCGTTATGCTTTCAGAACTAAGATTAGTGCTTCATTGTTTGTTATTAGAAGGTACATTTCAGCTCTGTGTTGCGAACCGATAACCGCTTCTATTCTACTCTGCTGCTGAACAATAGTGGTAAGATTACATGGCAAACATACACGAGAAATACCGTCGAGTCGTTATGTGAAATCCGTGAGTTATATACAAGCTTGCATCAATATGTTGTTTATTTTACCAGACTATTTTTATTTCTTCATTTACATATTGAAATATAATAAACTATTAATATCATGCATAACAGAATTTTCTTTGACACGCATGAATTAGCTCTAAAGTTAATTATTTAGAATTTTAATAGTAATTAAAATTCGACTAAAAATAAATTCGTGAAGAAATTAAAAATTGCCATGGCCTAAAAAAGAAACTATATCCAAGTTCAAGTTGCTGCAAGTTCTCGACATCCCAATCTTCTTTCTGTCTCTGATCTCAATTCTCATGGAGAAAAAGGAAATGAAAGTTATCCAAGAGAAAGTGCCTACTGGTGGAGAGTAGTTTCGGATATAGCTACTATACTCTCTTGCCCACTTTCTGGGCTGGGTTGTTTCTCGTAAATTTTCAACTGACGTAGATGCGCTGGATTCTTTCTACACACACATATATATATATATATATAGAAAAGTTCACATGAAATCGAATTTCGACCTGTGGGAAAGCCGTACATTTTAGTTGGTTAAAGAATAGAATCAAGATAAAAGCTTTTTGTTCAAGATTTTTTCAAGAGAGGACAAAAAAACAAAAAATTGGGGTTTTCATTTCATTTTCAATTCTTATGTTAAAGTCCCTTATTAATGAACAAATAATTTTTTTGGAAAATTGAAAATAATTGTAAAGTGAAATATGTTTTTTTTAATATTATAAATATTTATTAAATTATTTATATGCAGGGTGTTTAAAAAGTATGGAAACTTGTAAATATCTTGAAAAGTACGCATTTTTCGTGAATAATCACGAAGATGCCTTCCATTCTTTTTGAACATCCTGTATATATATAATTTAATAAAGCAACTATATTCTATTTTGTGAGAAGAGTAATTTGTCATTTTCGATGTTATAAAGCTCAGGAGATGAAAGGTTTCTCATACCTTTTGTTTCACGTTTTAGCTGCTGGCAACGTTTTGTCCTGTGTTATCTCTCTCCCTCTCTCTCTCTTCATTCCCTGTGTTCATTTTGACATTATCCTCGGGTATAAATTATATACGCTATGATTCGATTTAAAAAAAGCAAATCTCAATAGGCTTGTAATTTATGTCACGAATGCACATCAGACCTATACATATTTTACTTCAAAAAAAGGATTGCTTTCATTTTTTTGAATAACATTACTTTCTCACATATTCTCACATAATATTACATCGTCTAAATAAATTACTATACCTACATGATAATAATTCAAATAAGTTAATAAATAATAATTATTTTTTTGAATCACAAAATGATCAATTAATTAATTATTTATTGTTATTATTATTATTATTGTTGCTTTAGTAAAAACCAGGGAAAAATGTAAATTCTACAAAGTCTCTCTCTAAACAAGATCAAATTATGAAATTTTTTACATATTCACAAATTACGGGTTAGCTTTCATATACTTTTGTAATATTTTTCATTTTATGGTAACATTCACGGGGAGGATTAAAACGTAAATAATTTATCAGCATGAACATATTTCCCTTTGGTGTTTTCCATAATTTATAAAAAGCGTCCAGAGAATGAAAAATTAATTTTCTCAGCTCATGAAATATTTTCGTTTAACATCTAGATATTAAGAAAAAAAACCTTCCCCCCTTCTATTTTGAAAATAATTTTTTGTTTTAAATTTTTGATTTTATAAAAATACTGAATATTAAAAATTTTTTGAAATTAAATTTTTAATTAGAAATTGATTTAAAAACAAAAATTTGATTTATTTTTCGAAAAGATTGTTTAAGAAATATGGGCCAGTTTCATAAATAAACTAAACTCATTTGTATGCCGAGAGAGAAAGAGAACTTGGTTCTATTCATGGAATATAAGAAACATCGTCTCGATATCACTAATTCAAACCCTATGTGAAGGAACCTTTTACTTTTCTCTGTGAGTTGCTTTCATGAACTTTGTAATGAAAACCAAGGCAAAAGAATAAGAAAAAGAGAGTATCAACGCGTACATATTTTTTATTATTAAAGTCTTAATAGCAAATAGAAATTATCAAAATTCTTGGAAATTCTTAATTTTTTAAAAAATGTTTCTAAATTGTTTTTTTTCTTTGAAAATTTGTTGTTATGCCAACGAAACGAGGAAACTGTCTAATCTTGAGAGATATCTTCTTTTTATTTATAAAAGAGATACGTTCTTAAAAAGAATTTGAACCCAATATAAGTTATGTCAGGTTTAATAAATTTCTCTGACCTTTTACAGTGCAATCTTGAAAGTTTTTCTCGATTTGGCCGCACCGATGGCTCTACTATATGAGAAGCAAAAGAGAGAACAATGTATATATATATATATATATATGAACTGTCGCGATCTTACAAATTTGAAGTTTCTCTCTCTCTCTCTTGTTTTCCACCTCGATTCTGGATTTCCTCTTCTATGTTTTCTTTTGCGTTTCCTCTATCATTTCACCATCCCCCCTCTCTTTCACTCCCCCATTTCCAGTGCCACACTTTACTTTTTTGTTGGTGATGAATCCGCCAAGGAGTAGCTTTTATTTGGCCGCAGGCGCATTGCGAGGCACTGGGGCAGAAAATTGCGACTTCATCCGGCCGAACCACTGCACATATACTATTTTTTTTTCTCATGGAACGTTCCAGTATGAAAAACACGTATATTTGGCAAAATCGTACATAATCTGTCAAAAATTAAAAAACTATTTTTAATTTAGTCCACACCACAGATATGAAAAGAATTCTTTTTCGAAAAAGTCTCCCTTCATAAATATAGTTATAATTAACATGTTATATCATTTTTAAATTTAAACATATTATATTAATTTTTCAAATATCTCATTTATATTTTATTTCATACTTTGTTGCACAAAATTATTGTTTTTTTCATAATTCATTCTTCTTTTTTCACTTGTACTTGTTTTAAAATTATGAAAAAAGAGTAGGCCAATTTTATAATCTGAAAATAAAAAAACATGGAGTTTTATTGTAATAATTATGTGCATATCATAATTTTATTGCAATCTTTCGTTTTAAAAAACATATATGAAATATGGAATTGATTCGTCAAGCGGGACATATTTGAAACCGCGCGCGCGGGTCTCTACAATTCGATTTTAAAAAATGCATTCCTGATACTTTCACGCCGCGTTAGATTATTGGATTTGTGTTGATGAATAGTGTTCCGACTTTTCAGAATTGATTGAATCGTCAACTGTCAAGCACTCTGACATGAACAAAATTTCACTTATATATTGAATAAAAAAAAAAAAAATATTGAATGCATTATATGACTTATTGACGCTATTGTATATACAATATACAAATGGGCATTCATATAGAAAATTTTATTACATTTCAGAATTTTTTTAGGGCGCAATCTTCGTGAAATGTTTCATATTCCCTTTTTTCATTTGAAAGTGTCACTACTCTCGAAGGGTTGTGAACGCGATTATTTTTGCAACTCATGAATATTTTAACAATTCTATAGAGAAAATAGCAAAGTGTTAATGACTCGGGCAGCGTGAAATTTTATCGTCGTGTGCTTTCGCATAAAGTAAACTATATAATAGTGGCCTTAGGAACGTTAACTTTTGTTTCATGCGTAGAGACGAAGAGCCATTAATTACCATTCCCATAGAGTCGTTGTGTATTGTCTTGGCATAGCGTGGCTTTATTTTAGGTGCAAACACGATTACAAACACCCTTCTTTCCCCTCATTTTTTAATTCATATTCCAAAGAACGTTTTTCATTATAATATAAATCTGGTTAAGAATCTTTATTTTCTCTTTTTAATTAGTATTTCTTTTCTATTAAATTACCAATTTCCCTTTTCTGTGATTTTTATGAGATTTAACATTTTTATTTTATTTATTTTTAAAAAACGGACATACTCACTTTAAAAAAGGTGTCGACAGATAAGAGAAAGAAATATCCAACATAAAGTCGAACTGGAATCTGCATTCGTGACATAATAATACAAAGGGATTTTCTAAATTTTTTACTTGAAATTGAAGGCCATGCACATTCATAAACTGCTTCCCTTAGTTCGTCAGTCTGAAACATAAAACAATTTTTCTGTTTTTTTTTTTATTGAGTCACGCACCGGAGAATGCAAGAATGTCGATTTCGAATAGTGCAAACAATTGAAGTCTATATTTTTTTAATATTTGCTTTCTGTCAAATTTTTGTTTTATTTTTTTTCTTGCTTAAACTAACCAGTTGGCAACAGTTTTAATTTCACATTATACTTAAATTTATAGAAAATTTTAGTACCTTCATTGTAATGTCATTTGCCCTCCATGTGTAGATAAATATTTGAAAAGTCATACACATACAGTATTGTATCATAACATAAAATTGCATCGTATTTGGAGAAATCTATATAAAGTAAATAGAACAATAAAATTGTGGAGAAATATAAAAAATTATTTGTTACAAAATGGATTGTACTATTTACAAATACAAATTGTAACCAGATCTTTCTATTTGCAAAATACAAAAATAAAATAAAATTAATTACTGTAATCAAAATTTTTTTATTGTGTTAGAATAAATTCGTTTTTATAATTTAGAAAAAAAATTTGGAAATTATACTTACAACTGTCATTTCGAAACATGTTACACAAATGATAATGCTACTTGCGCATAATTGTATGACGATTCCAAATTGAAACAAATCCCTTACATCATTAACAAAACTAATAAAAAAAATTTGGTAGTAATATATAATGAAATTTAATTTAATATTATTACACGGAGGAAAAAAATTGAATAGCTTCTAATAATTACATGGATTATTTGAATCAAATAAATTTTTTTAAGTACTTGGAAAAAAATTTTAAATATGAAAAAAAAATAAAAACTTTTTTAAATATACAAACAAGTAATACTCTGAAATCAAAAAAACTATAATGGACAACAGAAACTGTTTCCTTTTTTTTGGAGTGAATATTTTTTTATCTCAAAAAAAAAAAACACTTTTCGATAAAAAAAATCTCTCTAATTTGAAAAATGTTTTTTTCAACTTTAAGAGATTTGTAAGCGGAAAAAACTATGCACACATAAAATGTATTTTAAATTTCCAATAGTTGAATATTTCGTGACTCTCTCTCTCTATATCTCTCTCTCTCTCTAAACTGACAGTTTGACATAAAAGCTTTTTTCACTTACTCGAGGATTGCTTCGTAATGCAGGGTGCATTTGGCGATACGTTCGTTTAAAGTTTTCTCCAAGTAATCTTGGTTGCTACTGAAAGTATCCTCGGGTGAATTTGTGGCTTGCAAATAACTGCGTCGTATAAGTGTCAGATTTGAAATCCCACTCTCATGGTTAGAAGGTAATTTCTTATCAGATGTTACCGTCCCGTTGGGAAATTCACAACTTAAATCTGATAAATTATTTCTATTATTATTATTATTATCCTGGACATCAACAATGTCCGTCAAATGTTTGAAATCTCGCCTCAAAATTTCTAATTGTGCCACTAACATTACAAAAAAATTTGTCGTCATCATATCGATCATTGAATCCATTGATGCTGTTGTCAATAGTAAAAGAATTTGTGATGCATAAATATATCCATAAGTTGGATTTTCCGTCACATTAAATGGATACCATGCTGCAAACAGTAATACTTTATTCTGTAAAATTTAATTTCTTTGGATATACATTTTAGTATTAAATTTTGGTAAGGACTAAAATAGAATTTTTTTTATTGAAACTGAGAAAAAAAAATTTGTAAAAATTCAAAATTGAAAGTTTAACCACTTTGGATTTTGTGATTTTTTTTTACCTGACTGCTGTCAACCAGAGGAAAAAGAATCCAACTTGCACAAGTGATCATTGATAAGACCATAAATGTCATGGAACTTGCTTTAGCGACATTTGTATAATCTTTTAACACTTCAAAATGTTCTTTTCGTTTAGGTGTAAATAGAGGATGATGTAGTCTTTGAAAAAATTCCTCTACTTTATTGCGTCTCGAAATAAATACTACGAGTTTTGCAACATAACCAACGCATGTCAATGTGAAAAATGAACTATCCACTATTTTTTGTACATCATTGCGTGTTAGATAAATGTTGATAAATTGCGTTGGTAACAATACAACAATATAAAACAATTGAAAACTATAACCGTACACATTGTACAATAACCTGTAAGGGATTTTTTTTAATTTTCCACGTTTTTTTTTTTGAATATTTAAGGAAAAAAATGTTATTTTTGATGATGAATGGATTTTGGAAAAATAGTTGCTTTTAAAAAGTAATACTGTCTGTTGCGGACAACCTTAGCACTGGATGTTTCGCTGCTGAAGGCCAAACGCCAAATAACTTGAATGTCTGTAGATTCATACTAAACGCGTCTTCGGGTCTGTAGATTTCCATTTCTGATGAAACAATTTTCTTCCACAGAGGGTTGTAGTTTTGTCGATGTCTATATATCTTATTATTGCAAAGGAGAATTTCAAATGATTGATAGTTGCGGTGAAATTTATATTATAGGTCACGTTGTATTGAATAATAGGAAGTTGTATTTTAAAGACCGCCCCTCCCCTTTTGTCATATTGTATAGAAGAAACCTTCAGCTTCCAGGAACTCTTCTATATAATTTATCATCACTCCCTAATAGAAATCGATTTGAAAATGTTTTCAAATATATCCCTCTTTTGGTTATACCCTATTGTGTTGCATCAGTAACAACTGTTTTTCAAATACAGTAATTGGTATACATATCCTCCGTTTAGTAAAAGGGATCTCATATTCTGCATTTTCAAGTCATAAATTCCTGGAATTGTTTTCCTATACCAGTACATGGAGGAATTTATGTCAATTTAATCAATAATAGGGAAATTGATTGAAATTTTGCTCTGTTATCGCGTGCAAACTCTTTGTTGACAAATATTTGAATGGATTCAAAAAAGAAACATTTGACTTTGAATGCGAAAAGAAATTTTTGTTTGCTTTAAAAATGTTAATATTTGTCTAATTTTTGGGAAATTTTTTTTTTCCTTGTAGGTAAACAGGTTTTTCTAAAAATAGTCGTATAAAAGTTATTGCACTTGGGAATACAAAAATCATATTTTTTTCTGTTAAACAAAATGTTCGTTTATTAAAAATTTCATAACATTATTCTTTAGAGCAATTATGATTTGGAACTATTTCTTCGGATTGTTAAATTGTTTCAAAAGTATGTAGAAACTGTATGCCATTTTTATTATCTGGAAATGAATATTGAAAACAAAATTTGGATTTGAATTTTCTATTTATAAATACCCTAATAAAGAAGAAATATTTAATAATGTATTTATATACTTTGAAAAATGTATCCAGTGACAAGACAAAAAACTTGCCAACAACAAGCCTGACAGGAATGTGTAAGGGAGACATAATTATGCAAAGCGACTTTCTGAATTTCATGTTTGGTACGGACATCCATGCACTTTCGTAAACAGCATCTTTCAGCTCGGCAGCCTGTATTAAATGCAAAAATATTCGTAATATATATATATATACAATATAATTTTTTTAATTTAATTTATAAAAGTAATTAAAGAATAATTCATACTTTTGCATTCTCATTAAACTATAAATTGTTTATTAACTAAAATTATTATTTTCATCTAAAACAAACAGATACTTAACCTTTATTGTAAAATCATGCCCTCGATAACAATAGAGAAATATTTCAACTAACATACATATTTGATATTGCATAATAACATAAAATTCTATAGATGATAGTGAAATCTGTAAATTAAATTTTTTTTAAAAAAAGATTAGTTAACTATTTTTCTAAAAAAAAATTACTTACCAATGTCATTTCATAAGTTGCAGTACAAATGACAATACTACTTGCACACATTTGGCTTACAATTCCAATTTCAAAGAAATTTGTAACGTCATTAACGTATCTAAATTTAATTTAATGAAGGTTTTTTGAAAAAAACGCGATTTTTATTCTTCTTTTATTTTGAACCTTTTTTTGTATATGGTTTAATTAATCCTTAATTAAATATTTAGTTTTTATCATTATAATGAGAGTAGCTTATTTTTTCTCAGAAAAATGCGCGCGCAACATTGGTGGAAATAAAGCGTCGTGATTGGTTTTTGAACGCTATCCCCACTTCTTGTATATTGCGCGCGCAGATCTTGCATCAATAAAAAGAAAATTTAAATTTAAAGAAATTTAATTATTATTAATATTATTAATTAAATTTAAATAAAATATATTATAATTAAATTGAAAATAATATAATAAATTCATTATAATTTTTAATTATTGTTAAATATCTGTGTAAAAATTACTTGATTATTTCTCTATAGTGTTCGGTGCATTTGATAATTCGTTTATTTAAAAGTCTGTCCAGTGATTCCTGATTGTTAAATGTTTGCAAATAATTTTGACATGACATTGTTTCTTTTGAATTAGATAACTGTTTTGTTTCCACTTTTTTCAAAAATAATTCACCACTCTTGTCAGCAATATCCGCCACTTGTTTGAAATCCATTTTAAGAATTTCTATTTGACCCACCATGAGAATATAAAAATTTGTTATCATTGTATCCATCATTGAGTTCACGCATGCTGTATTTATTAGCAAAAATGCTTGTGAAGAATAAGTATAGGCAAACATGGGATTTACTGATGTATTGTAGGGATACCATGATGCAAGTAATAATTCTTTCTTCTATACATATACATATCATAAATTATTTTTTTCAATTTCTTCTCAAAAAAAAACTTTTTTTCAAGTGTCAAAAAAATTATTTTACCTTATTGCTTTGCACTAGTGGAGTAATAGCCCAAATAGTGGCAGTAATTGAACACATTAATATAAATACAAAACTTGTTTGCCTCGCCAGGTTTTTGTATTTTTCAAGTACGATAAATTGTTCCTTTGTTTGTGGAGAAAATATTGGATTACGTAGTTTTTTCAAAAATTCCTTAATTTTTTTACCCCTCGAAATAATTAAAATAATTTTTGGTAGATATGCCATACAAGTCAATGTTACAAATGATGAATCAATAAGATTCTCCAAATTAGAGCGAACAACATACAAATTTATTAATTGCGGCAAAAGTACCGAGATGTAAAATATTTGAAGACAATAGCCATATAAATTATAAATGAATCTATAAAATGAAAACATTGAAATAAAACATTGAAGGAAAACAATTTTAAAAAAGTAAATTGATAATTATATATAATAATTATACATAGTAAATTGGATAAATTATTTTCTTTCAGTGCGCAAGAATTTTATAAAAATGATTTTTTTTTCAAGTAATTTTTGTGTTAATTAATTTTTGATGAACCTGAGAAAAGGATGATTTACTGCGTAAGGCCAGGCACCGAATAATTTTAGTGTACGAATACACAAAGAAAATGCGTCTTCCGGTTTATGGATATCCATTTCTTATGAATGTGAGGGGAGTTTAGCCACGAGGATGCATTATAAGGCTATCTTTTTAGTATATATGCAAGTAATCGAAAGGAATTTAAAATGATTGGCATGCGAAGACATATTCATATTATATTGTCTATGTTTATCGTAAAATATGTTACGAACCTTGTGGTGACGTCCCTTTTCATCAAAGACTCTAGTTTCGTTGAGCTTCCTCTATAATTTATCCAACGTTTAGTCGACCTGAAAATCTAATTTCGACATATTTCACAACCCCCCTATTTATCCTTACAACCAAAGTCCATAGTTATTCTCCTCTATATTCTCCGAGAACTATTATTTTCATATAAATATTTTATTCCTAGTCAGATTCGTTATGTTCTCTCTGTTAAAATATTCGAATATCCGAATTTTTTTTTTAAATCTCATTGGGACTTTTTAGGAAAATTGAATTTTCTTTATTGTTTATCAAAGATCATTATAACTATGTTAAAATAAAATTCTTCTTTCGAATAAAAAAAAAAATTAAAAATTTGTAACAAAGGTGAACAAAATTTTATTTGGGAGAATTTTATCAATAAGTTAACAATGAAAAATGATTGTATTTTCTGTTAACTTTACAATGATTTTTTTAAAATTATAGTTAAACTACACTGGCAATTTATATATTTATTTTTTTCAGAAGTGGACTTGTTTTAAAAGAATATAAAAGGTATAAGACATTTTTATAATCTGAAAAGAAAATCTTATTTTTGTAGATTTTTTTTGTAGATTTTGTAAATTTTTAACATATATTGATAAGTAAATTTACCTTGAAGAAAGTGTCGACAGACAATAAAAAAAATTTTCCGACACATATTGTTAAAGGCACTTGAAGGTGTGACATTATAATGCAAATGGATTTTCTGAATTTTTTATTTGGTATTGACATCCATCCGCATTCGTAAACTGTATTTTTTAGTTCTGCTGTCTGTAAAAAATAATTCCTAAATTTTCTTTTCACCAAATTTTGTTCTTAATTTGTTACATTAAGTTTTCCGTTAATTAATTAATGAAAGCTTCTTAAAATGTTAATGTTTAATTTAAAAAAATTAATTACCTTTATGGTGATGTCATTACCACGCCAAGTATAAATAAATATTTGATACAACATGCACAATTGATACAGAAAATACATATAAAATTGCACCGTAGTTGGCGAAATCTATGAAAAGAAACTAAATTTAGAATAAATAGTACAGAAACTAAAAATCCTACTTAGTTGTGATTAATTACTAATTCGTTTTGTATTTAATGACTTACTAATGTTATTTCGAAAGTTGTTGCACAAATAATAAAGCTACTGACGCAGACTTGTACCACAATTCCAATTTCAAAAAAATTTGTTACATCATTGACAAATCTAAGTGGATTAAAATAATGTATTATCTACATTAACAAGTATTTATAAATATTAAAGTATTTAATTGTTTACTCAAAATAAATAAAATTTCTAATATTCATAGAAAAGAATAAAAAAAATGTTCACTTACTACCATTAACTTACTTGATAATTGCTTGGTATCGTAACAAGCATTGAATTATTCGGTCATTTAATATATTGTCTAATACTTTTTCATTATAATAAAAAACATTCTCTAAAGAATGGGACGATCTTAAGGATTTATCAACGACTAAATTTTTATTTTTATTTGAGCTTACTGCAACAAAATCTGTTAATTCACGAAAATCTTGTTTGAGAATTTCCATTTGTCCCACCATAACAACATAAAAATTGGTCGTCATTATATCAATCATTGAATTCATAGCTGCTGTCGTTAGCAAAAGAATTGTTTGCGAAATGTATGTGAATGCATAAGCGGGATTTACTGTTGCATTGTATGGATACCATGCAGCGTAAAGTAATGTCTTTACCTAAAAATTGTGATTTTGAATTTCAAAAAAAAATTTTCTTTCAAATTAATTTTTAATTCAAATCATATCAAGTATGTCTAAATATATTGAGAATAAATCCAATAGCGAATTAGTTGGTTGCAATTCTGTATTTGATCTATTTCTAATTTGTTGTTATAAATTATTATTATTATATTTATACCTCTCTGTTTTCAACTAAGGGAAAAACTATCCATAATACACAAGTGCCGAGTGATAAAGAGAGAAATGTAATGGAACTTGCTCGTCCTGTAATTGCCGATTTTTTCATTATATTCAAATGTTCAATTCTTCTTGGAACAAAAATTGGATCGTGCAATCTTTGAAAGAATTGTTCAATTTTTTTGCGTCGAAATAAAAAAACAACAAGTTTCGATGCATAACCAACACAAGTCAATGTGAAAAATGAACTATCAACAAGTTCTTTTAAATCAGTTCGCATAATATACATGCTTGTAAATTGTGACGGTAAAAGTCCTCCAATATAATAAAAATGGATAGCATAACCATAAAGTTTGTAAATAAAGCTGTAAAATGACAATTAGCAGAGAAAATTTCATTTTGATTAAAGTAGAATAAAAATTTTACTCCATAAGGTTTCGTTTACCTCTGTATATGGAATCAAAAATTTTGACAATTGTACAAAAATATGTATGTTTAAACAAAATGACATTTTATTTCATTTTGTTTGAACATAAATTTTTAAACATTAATTTTGTTATACGAATGCAAAAGAGGAAAACCTTAAGAGGGGATGTTTTATTGAGGAAGGCCAAACGCCAAACAATTTGAATGTTCGAAGATTTATAGCAAATGCATCTTCCGGTCTATAGACTTCCATTTCTTGGTGGGGAAATTTTCCTCTCTAAGAGAGGATGTACTTGTGTCACAGGGTTGCAATATATTTACTACCTTTAATATGCAAGTAATTCAAAGTTGCTGGAAATGATTGGCATGTTACGATATATGCGAAATGTGGATCTATATCTTGTTTTGCAGTATCGCAAAATAATAGAAACGCCCCCTTATTATTGTGAGCTAAAGTTTCCTGAAACTAACTCTATAATTTAGCCAACCCATGAATCGATTTTTAAAAACATTGTTACGAAATATTTTTGCGTACTGAACAATACAGGAGATGTCTTTATCGCTACATTGGAATTAAATTAAATTGTATTATATACTGTCAATCCTTTTATTCTTTATCTTCAATTACCTAACTGATTGGGAGAATATTTTTGGGAAAAACATGAATATATGAAACATTTTGAGATATAACACTTGGTGCATAATTATATTTGCGTAATTAAAATACATGTTTTTTTCAATTTGTACTAAAAAATTAGACATCGAAAATTAATGTGTACTTCAGTAATTTACTTCATTTATTTTGATCGTTGACTTGTTTCAAAAGAACGAATAAGGAATAAGACATTTTCATAATCTGAAAAGAAATTTTACAGCACTGAAATATAATTAATTTTTTAAAACTTTTGATCTCTTTTAATTTTTGTTTTAAATTACTTACATTATTTATTAATATTAACAATGTAGGAAAATAAACTTACTTTCAAGAAAGTATCGACAGATAACAGAAAGAATTTTCCTACACATATTGTTAAAGGAACTTGTAGATGTGACATTATAGTGCAGAGGGATTTTCTGAATTTTGAACTTGGTACTGACATCCACTTGCAATTATAAACAGCATCCTTTAGTTCTGTGGTCTGTAATATATAATTCGTATTTATTTAATAACAAGTATTTTGTAATAATACATTTTTGTACCAATTAAATTTTAATTAAAATTTAATTATTTAATTAAAAGTGCTGTTAAACGTTTATATTGTAAGTTATAATGGTTAACATAAAAAAATTGCATAAATCCTTAAATATTTGATCTGACATAATTATTTACTTTTATAGTAACGTCATTACATCGCCATGTATAAATAAAAATTTCAAATAACATGCATCCTTGATACAGCATGTACTTATAAAACTGGAATGTAGCTGGTGAAATCTGAGATAAAAAAGTGTTTAATAATTATGGAACAGAATTCATTGTCGATTTAGTAGATTTATTGTAAAGATAACTTACAGTTGTTATTACGTAACTTGTTGTGCAAATGACAACACTACTAACGCAGACTTGTACCACAATTCCAATTTGAAACAAATTTGTCACGTCACTAACGAATCTAAATGAAATAAAATATATAATTCTTTCAATTAATTTTGTAACAATATTTTATCCCTTAAGGGATTAATGGATCTTAAAAATAATCATATGAAAAAGATATCAGTAATTATTTTTCACTTACTTCATAATTGCTTCATATCGCAATAGGCAGTGGATAATTCGGTCATTTAATATTTTCACTAATTCTTTTTCATTGTTATAAATTACATTCCTGACAGAATGAGTTGATTTTATATACAAATTTTTTAGCATTGCTTTGTTTATATTATGAAAATTTGAAAAATGTGTTACTAATTTTTTTCCATTATAATCAATGCTTTCAAAAACAACTGAATTTTTATTTGAAAATTTAATAATCGCTTCCTTTGAATCATTTACAGCACTAAAATCTGCTAATTCACTGAACTCTTGTTTGAGAATATCCATTTGTCCCACCATAATAACATAAAAATTAGTCGCCATTATGTCAAGCATAGAAGCCATAGCACATGTTGTTAAAAAATGAATTGTTTGAGTAATATATGTGTATACGTAAGCGGGATTCATTGTTACATTGTATGGATACCATGAAATGTATGGTAATGTCTTTTCCTAAAAATTTCAATTTACTTCAAGGAGTGTCACCACCTACATTTAGAGTAATTCAACGTTATATAAATAATCAGTTTTTGATATACCTATACCTTTCTATATTTAAATAATGGTAAACTGATCCAAAATGTCCAAGTGAGAAATGCCAATGACAGAAATGTAATTGAAGTTACTTGTGCTATAGTTGTAGATTTTTTTAATATATTCAAATGATCCTTTTGTCTTGGAAGGAAAATTGGACCGTTTAATCTTTGGAGAAATTCTTCTATTTTTTTACGCCGCAAAAGAAATATAAAAAATTTTGTTGCATATGCAACACATGAACATATGTGAACACAATTATTTATAACTTCTTCTAAGTTATCATGCTTCATATACAGGTTCATGAATAGTGGCGGAAAAACTCCTATTATATAATACATGTGGATTGCAAACCCATAGAGTTTGTAAATAAATCTGTAAAACCACAGAAAAAAAATGTTCTGTATGAAATGAAACATTTTTGTAATTGTATGAAAATTTATGATTAAAAATGAAAAAAAAATAATTTTATTAAATATAAGTTTTATTATATTTGCAAAACATTAATGGCCAACCTTAACATGGGATGTTTTATTGAGGAAGGCCAAACGCCAAACAATTTGAATGTTCGAAGATTTATAGCAAATGCATCTTCCGGTCTATAGACTTCCATTTCTTGGTGGGGAAATTTTCCTCTCTAAGAGAGGATGTACTTGTGTCACAGGGTTGCAATATATTTACTACCTTTAATATGCAAGTAATTCAAAGTTGCTGGAAATGATTGGCATGTTACGATATATGCGAAATGTGGATCTATATCTTGTTTTGCAGTATCGCAAAATAATAGAAACGCCCCCTTATTATTGTGAGCTAAAGTTTCCTGAAACTAACTCTATAATTTAGCCAACCCATGAATCGATTTTTAAAAAAAATTTTGACGAAATATTTCTGTACTGAACAATACAGGAGATGTCTTTATCGCTACATTGGAATTAAATTATAAAATCCATGTATAGGCTTTAAAGTTTCCAAGTTTTCAGCTGATGAAATTACTGTCAGCAATTATTAACTAAAGAGACTTTTTTTATAAAAAAAAATTCTTGAATTTAATTTGTTTTCTTCAATTAAATGGTAAGAGGAAAATATTTATATTTGCAAAAAGAAAAATAAAAGGACACCATATATATAGTTTAATTATTATTTTATTATCTTATTCAAGAAATTTGTTTTAACGTAATAAAATTTAAAAAAAACCAAAGGTAGAACAAAATTAACGTAAAACTTTGACAATTTGTCAAATATTTCAAAAATACATATATAGAAATTTTCGAAGTAACTTGTATATAACCATAATATAAGAATATAGAGGTCATATGGTTTTTGCGTTTGATATTTTACATGAAAATAATTAATTATACATATATTATCTAAATACCTAATATAAAATGAAATTTTCACTTCAGCGATGAAATGTTTTGAACATTATATTAAAGTATGTTTCATTTTTGCTGCAATTCCTTTTTGATGTTAACTTGTTTTAGAAGAACGTAAAACGTGTAGGCTAATTTTATTATCTGTCAAAGAATGATTTTTTTTATCGCAAAAAGAAAAATTAATAAAATTTATTACGACAAAAGTAAAAATTACAGAATTTATTAGTGGATTTTTTCAAATTCTTTTTATTAATTAATTATTATCTTAATTAGATAATTATTATTATATTTTATTAATTTAACATTATAGTTGGATTATTTACTATTGAAAATTAAAAATTTTAATTAAAAAATTTGTTTATATACATTTTTGTTAATATAAGATTGTAAATTTTTAAAAATATGAAAATAAATATTTCAATTAAAAAAAGAATTAGAATTAATAAAATATTATTTGTATATCAATAGTGAAAAATAACTTACTTTCAAGTAAGTGTCGACTGATAATAAAAAGAATTTTCCAACACGCAGTGTTAATGGAACTTGCAATTGTGACATTATAATGCAAAGTGATCTTCTGAATTTTACATTTGGTACGGATATCCATCCACATTCATAAATTGCATCCCTCAGCTCTGCAGTCTTAGAGCAAATAAATTATATTCACTTTTTTAAATTATTAATTCTTAAAATAATCAAATTATTTGCCTTATTAGTAGAAAGTTATTGTTTAAAAAAAATTATGACAATGGACTTTTTTTAAAAAGTTAATCATTCACCAAAAAATAAGGGAATTTTCCATTTTATGCAAATTTCTCATTTTGATGCAACTTTTTCTTTCATTTCCGGTTAAAAAGGTTCTTTTCTATTGAGAGAATTTCCTTTTCATTTAAGAGGATGAATGTGTCCTATTAAAGAAGGATTTCAAAAAAGGGGATCATTTTTTCTACACCAATTGTCAAATAATGTTTGTAACATATTGATGAAGATAAAATTTATCTTCTCTTCAGATCCTCACAATTTCAAAAATGAGAATAAAATTTGGCTTAAAGGAGAATATCTTTGTTTCGAGAGAATAAAGTTCGCGACTATTAGAAAATAAATCTTATCAATGTGAAATTAATTTTTTCTTAATTTTCAAAGTTAACTTTAAAGGCGTTATTAATATTTGATTCTTTGTTAAAATTAAGTTACCTTTATGGTAATAGTATTTCCGCGCCAAGCAAAAATGAATATTTGATACAAGATGCATAATTGATATTGTAGGAGCATGTAAAATTGTAATGTAGTTGGCGAGATCTAAATAAACAAGAACAAATTTGGTTAAATTTAAAAAAAAAATAAAAATAGGTAAATTTAAATAAAATGTGTAAAATAAAATATATGTGCAAAAAGTATAAAAAGTAAGAAAAAAAATCTTCTTTCTCTAGAAATATATTCGCATTACAAACAAACAAATTTTTTCCCAGTGACTTACCGATGTCATTTCATAAGTTGTAGTACAAAATATAATGCTAGTCACGCAAACTTGTACCACAATTCCAATTTGAAAAAAATTTGTTACGTCATTAACAAATCTAAATGTAGTAAAATCATCTCACTCTTTAAAATTGAATCAAACTTTTTTTTGACATTGAAAATTAAGATAATTCACAAAAACGTTGAAAATTTAAAGAAATAGACATTTTGTTATTAATAAAAAATTATATCAAACCTACTTGATAATTGCCTCGTATCGTAAAGTACAATTGATAATCCGATTATTTAGTATTATGTCTAATGAATTGTCATTGTCATAAAAAACATTTTTAACAGAGCTGACCGATTTTAAATACAAATCGTATGGTATTTTTGTATTAAATTCATGAGTTAATTCTTTTCTGTTTGAATGAAATTTTTCACACTTGACTGAATTTTCATTAGACCATCCATTTGTTGTAATTTCCGAATGATTGATAACAACAAAATCAGTTAATTCACGAAAATCAAGTTTAAGAATTTCAATTTGCCCCACCATAAGAATAAAAAAATTTGTCGTCATCATGTCAATCATTGTATCCATAGCAGCTGTTGTTAATAAAAGAAGTGTTTGTGACAAATAAGTGTAACCATAAGCTGGATTTATTGTTGTATTATAAGGATACCATGCGACAAACAATAATGTTTTCTCCTGGAAAATTAAATTAAAAAATTTTATAAAGAAACAAAAAAATTAAAGTCCATACCTCTTTATTTTCGACCAATGGAAAAATAATCCAGGTAATACATGTTGTCATTGCTATTGAGAGTAATGTCATAGAAGTTGTTCTTGCTGTATCTGCTGATTCTTCTAATAAATCAAAATGCTCCTTTCGTCGTGGAATAAAAATTGGATCGTGTAATCGTTGAAAAAATTCTTCCACTGTTTTACGTCGAGATATAAAAACAATAAATTTCGATGCATATGCAATACAACTCAATGTGAAAAAAGAACTATCCACAAGTTCTTGTACATTATTTCGCATAATATATATACTCATAAATTGTGCCGGTAATAGAATGGCAATATAAAAAAAATGTATAGCATAACCATAAAGATTGTGAAAAAATCTGCAAACAACAAAAAATTATTCAGTTGAATAAAAATGTTAGATTCTAAATTTTTTATATTATGAAAAAAATGTATGCAAAATTTTAAGATTAAAAATATAATATAATTTATTTTAAGACTTGATTATCGAGTGTAATAATTTTTTAAAAAAACCTTAAAACTGGATGTTTTACTGAGGATGGCCAGACACCGAATATTTTAAATGTCCGTAAATTCATACCAAATGCGTTTTCCGGTCTATAGAGTTTCATTTCTTCGAAGCAATTTTCCACAAAGAGGGTTGTATTTTAGTCGAATAGTTAGTTGCATTAAAATTGTTAGTTGGAAATAATCGGAAGGGATTATTTGAAATGATTGGCATATCGCGTTCATGTAAGGGGAAGGGGGTGGATCCATATATGTCCGTATCGTGAAATAATGAGAAATGTTTCCTCCACTTTCCTGAAACTAAGTCTATAATTTAACAAGGTTTCGAAATCAATTGCAAAACATCGTTTTGTAATATTTTAGTATTCTTCTCTATTACTGATACTATTATTATCATTATTATTTTGTACATATGTTGCTGTAATCCACATTTATAAATGTGAAATTGTTTTGAATTTAAGATTCTTTTGAAAGAAAAGAAAGAATTTTTATTGAAGAATAATTGTAATGATAATGATTATAAAAATTTGGAAAATAATGATTATAATAATAATTTATTATAAAGATAATAAAAATAAACAGTTAATAATAAAATTTTTTCTAATTTTCAAAAGATGATATTATTTACAATTAACGGATTTTTTAGATTTGAAAAAGTATCCACATGTTAATGTAAAAATACAAATATTATTAGAAATTGTGGAAAAATAATAAATACTATAACTATAATAATTTATATTCGTTGTGTAGATTTTTCAAATTTTATTTGAAAATATAAAATAGACTGAAAAATATAAATTGATATATATTTTGACAAAATTGAAATATTTTTAAAAAGTAAGTGAAGGTATGTAAAACGATTTTAAATATTTTTCAAACAACGAATAAAATTTGAAGACACAAAAAAAACCGTAATCATTCTTTGTAAAAACATTTAGTTTTTTGGAAAAAATGTTGTAATTTTTTTTCCTTTTCATTTTATTCAATTTGTTGGATTTTTTTTGACGTTAACTTGCTTCAAAAGAATGTAAAATGAGTAGGCAATTTTTATAATCTAAAAAGAAAAAATATCTTTTAAGAAAATTTTAAAGAATTATTTTTACAAAATTCTATATGAAAATATGAATGTATATTTATCTTTTCTTTATTTTAATAAATAATAATAATTCTTACTTTAAAAAATGTGTCGACTGATAAAAAAAAGAATTTTCCAACACACAATGTCAAAGGCACCTGCAGTCGGGACATTACAATATAAAGTGATCTTCTAAATTTAATATTTGGCACTGTTATCCATCCACATTCATAAATTGCATCTCTCAATTCAATTGTCTGGCAAAAAGAAACAGATAATTTTTTTTAGAGATTTTATTAATTTATATTTATTTTATTTATAATTTTTATATTTTGATAAATTACCTTTAAGGTAATATTATTTCCCCTCCAGGTGTAAAGAAATATTTGATACATGATGCAAATTTGATATTGTAGAAACATATAAAACTGCAATGTAGTAGGAGATATCTGAATAATAAACAAAGTTAAGTTTACAAAAAAAATTGTAGAACAAATACTAAAGAATGAAAAAATGAAACTTTGTAAAAAAAATTTCAATAAACATAACTTACTGATGTCATTTCGTAAGTTGTAGTACAAATAATAATACTACTTGTACAAACTTGTACTATAATTCCAATTTGAAAAAAATCGGTTATATCATTAACAAATCTAAATATAATAAAACATTGTTTTAACATTCAATTTTGAACTTTATATCTTTACACCCAATATTCTTAAATGATTAATAATTTTTTTGAATCTCACTTACTTATAAATTGCCTGATATCTTAATGTACATTTAATGATTCGATTATTTAAAATTTTTTCCAATGAATTGATATAATCGAAAACATCATCCCTTGAATTGGTCGCCTTTAAATATATATCGTAAGATATTGTTCCTTTGAGATTAACAAAATTTGATAAATCAATGTGAGTTAGATTTTCATTATTGACTACTCCATTTTCAAAGTTAATATCAACATTTTTGATATCATTTCCTGTGAAAAAATCTGTCAATTCTTTGAAATCGAGTTTAAGAGTTTCCATATGTCCCACCATAATAACGTAAAAATTCAACGTCAGCATATCTATCATGGAATTCATAGTCGCTGTCGTTAGTAAAAGAAGTGTTTGACAAACGTATGTGTATTCATAAGCTGGATTTACTGTTGCATTGTACGGATACCATGCTGGGAATAGTAACGTTTTTTCCTGCGATTGCAAAAAAAGGCGTTACACTAAAAAATAAAAAAAAATTACTTCATTCAAATAAATTGGTTACTTGACTATTATCAAATAAATATTTCCTTGAACCAAATAATTTTTATTTCAGTCAAGTAAATTCATCAAGTAAACGATTATTTGAATCAAATTTTTTGTTTTCATTGTACTATTGTATTGTCTTTTACATTTTAATTTGTATTGTATTGTTATTATCAGCAATTATTTTTTTTAAATCATTTTGAGTAGAATAAATTGTAATACCTGTTTCATATCAACCAAGGGAAAAATAATCCAAGTAACACAAGTTGCTAATACTAGAGAAATATAAATCATAGTATTTGTTCTAGCTGCAATTGTATATTCATTCAACACATCAAAATGTTTCTTTCCTTTTGGATAAAAAATTGGTTGTCTTAATCTATCGAAAAATTCTTCAATTTTGTTACGTCGCAATATAAACACAATAAGTTTCGATGCATATCCAATGCAAGTCATTGTGAAAAAAGAATTATCCACAAGTTCTTTTAAATCACCTCTCATTATATATAAACTCATAAATTGTGTCGACAAATGTCCAACGATATAATAAAAATGCATTAAATAGCCGTAAAATTTGTAAATTAATCTGAAAAATAGGGGGGAAAAAATATTTCAATTTGAGAATCGTACTTTTTTTGTGTTTGGGAAAAATTTATAAAGGATTGAAATAATAAAACCTTAACAGGGGATGTTTTATTGAGGAAGGCCAAACACCAAATAATTTGAATGTCAAAAGATTCATATCAAATGCTGCTTCCGGTCTATAGACTTCCATATTAATGTAAAGAATTTTCTTTTTTCTCTCTATAAAAAATTTGTACACATGAAAATTTGCATTAAATTTATTTTATGTAAAAAGTAGAAGGTAGTTTGAGAAATGATTGATATGTTTCAATATAAGCTTGTTACTCTCTCGTAAAATAATAGCAAGTTGAAGAAACATACACCCTTCTGTTGTTGAATTCAGTTTCCTGAAACTTACTCTATAATTTAACAACCATTGAAATCGATTAGGAAACTACAGCTTTGTCGTATTTCAGTATTTTCTCTATTATATTGTCGCACTGAAAGTCATTTCTATTGTCATTATAAATATATATATATATACATATATGCTCACTTTGAATATGAAATCCTTTATGAATATTATAAGACTGTTTTATAAAACCAATTCTAAAATTCTCTGTACCTAAATATTCCTTTTAAGACAGTGGAATATGAATTATTATTATTAACACTATTATGATGGCTAAATGGTAATTTTGATATTCGATAAAAAAGATAAGAAAAGCAATTTTTGAATTTTTCGTTTATTCAAACACTATTTATTTATTTTAACACTGACATTCAACTTTCAGTGTTGAATATTTGTGATAGTAAATAATTGAACAATCTTATTATTTTAATTCATATTTTAATTTCCCTTTTTTCTGGAATTAATCTGTTTTAGAAGTACAAAGAAAGAATATGCTAATTTTATAATCTGAAAAATGAATAAACTATTGTTTTTGAATGTTTCCTAATAATGTAAAATTATTATATTTTTTTCCCCAACTATACTCACACCAAAAAAAGTATCGACTGATAGAACAAAAAATTTACCAACACTTAATTTCATTGGTACTTGTAATGGTGACATAATAATGCAAAGTGACTTTCTAAATTTTGAATTTGGAATTGACATCCATGCACATTCGTAAACTGCATCCTTCAACTCGGTAGTCTGTTATTTTTCGAAAATGAAAAAATTTACAGTACCGTCGGAAATTGTCGGTACAATTTCTGATGGTACTGTATACCAAAAAATTTATACCAAATTATACCAAATTTATACCAAATAATAGTAATATATTTGTTTCTTAATATTAGATTTTTCACCTTTACTGTTATGTCATTTCCTCGATATAAATAGATGAATATTTGAAATAACATACATAGTTGATATTGAAGAACAACGTAAAATTGTAAAGTAGTTGGCGAAATCTAGAAATTTAAAAGTTATTTTATTTGATTCGAAATTAGAATCGACATTTCAGAAAAAAAATTACAACTTACAGACGTCATTTCGTAACTTGTGGCACAAATGATAATGCTACTGGCGCAAATTTGTGCCACAACTCCAATTTGAAATAAATCTGTTACGTCATTAACAAATCTAAATTTCAAAACAATCACTTTCAATCCAATAATGACAAAATAGAAAAATAATTTTTACTTGTACAAAAAAATTTAACAGAAATAATATAAAATTTTATTCAATTGTTCTATGACACTTAAACAAATGAACAATTATTCTTACTTGACTATTGCTTGATAACGTTGAGTGCATTTTATAACTCGATCGTTTAATATTTTATCTAATTTCTCTTCATCAGAATAATTGGAATCTTTAATTGATTTTGTTTGAAATTTTTCTATTTTTTCATCATTATAAATTTCAGTATTTTCCATTATTTCCTGTTTGTCGAAATGTACATCTTCATTAATAAATTTAGTAATTTGAGAGAATTGATAATTTTGATCAATATTATTATTTTTCTGAACTATTGTTGCTAGTTCTCTAAAATCTTGTTTCAATAATTCTAATTGTGCCACCATGAGCACATATAAATTGGCAGTCAACATATCTATTTGAGAATTCATTGATGCTGTTGTCAATAATAAAATTGTTTGTAAAGCATATGTGTAGCCATAAGCTGGCTCAACTGTCGCATTATATGGATACCATGCTGCAAATAGTAATACTTTATCCTACAAAATAAACATCATTATAATTAACTGAGAAAAATAGTTTTTCGAAAATAATTTAGTTTTACAAAAATTTTATTTTAACTAATAATTTTTAGTTAAATATACATATTTAGTTGAAGGAAATATTTATTTGATAATAGTCAAGTAATCGATTATTTGTATCAAATAATTTTTTTCCTATATAATTTCCCAAATATTACCTCTTTGCCTTCTATTAACGGAAATAAAATCCAGCTTCCAACTGTTAAAACTGTCAAGCTCACGTATATCAGTGTAGATACTCGTGCAGAAAGAATAAAATCTTTCAAAACTGTCAGATCTTCTTTTCGTTTTGGTGCGAAAATTGGTTGATGTAATCTTGTGAAAAAATTATCAATTTCTTTACGACGCAATAGAAAAACAATGAGTTTTGTAATATAACCAACACATGTTAATGTGAAAAAAAAGCTATCGATTAATTTTTCCAAATCATTTCTCATAAGATAGATATTGATGAATTGTGTTGGTAAAATTCCCAACACATAGAATAATTGTACACTATAACCGTATATTGTATAAAAGAATCTAGAATTAAAATATTTAATGCAGAGTTTACACATCTCGATAATCAGTCTAAAAATATGAAAAAGAAATTTTTTTTCTAACCTTAATGTACGATTTTTGATAACTGACGGCCATAATCCGAAGAATTTGAAAATTACAAGATTCATTCCAAATGCATCCTCGGGTCTATAGACAAGCATGTTGCAAAACACTGTTAATATTTTCGGGAAATATTGAAAATCGAAGAAAGTTGGAGTATTAATTGTTGTGTAAAATAATGCCGATGAAAGGAGTCTCTAGATATAATCATATATAGTGCAAATACCCAGAACTGTTTTATTATAATTACAGTTTTCCACTTGTTACACAAAGGTTTCCGTATGACATTTTCAAACTATCATCAACGTATCTAAAATTTCAGCTTCGATCATATTTCACCCTCATATTCATTTAGATGACTATTCTTGTCCTTAAGAAAATTATCTGTTAGCTTTAGCTTAGTATTTATAATTGCATAGTGTATACTCTGCAAACATCAGGAAGTAAGTTATAATGACTACCTTATGCTTTTAAAGAGATCGAAGTTATATACCTTTTGTCAATTGATTAAATTTAGTCAATTTTCATCGATTGACAAAGGTGACTTCGGTTTGTTTCTGCCTGTTGCTACTTTCTAGTCGTCATTTGTCTCGCATAAGAGAATCATTAAATTTCTTTCTGCTGATGATAACTATTATATTTTACTATAATAAATAAGGAAAAAGTTTCAGTTCGTTAAAAAACGAATTTATATTTATAGTAAAATTTTTTTTTCTATTGCAAAAAAATTTTAAAGTCAAAGTTAATAATACACATTTGCACTAAATGGACTATTCTTGGCATATATATTGACCTTTAAAGAGTGACCTACTAATTATTTTAGAACAAATTAAAATAGTGAACTCTAAAATTAATTACATGTCAGTGCTCTCTCTCTTTCTCTCTTAGATTGAATAAACTGAAGGAATCTATCTTGCCGGGAACAAATACCGTGATGACCCAAATATCAACGAATATAGCAAGATGATGATAGAAGAGAGAGAGAGAGAAAATATGTGATCGCTGTGTAATGAAAGATAATGAAGCAGGTGCTTCCAGTTTCTGGGTCGGGAAAAAAATTAATCTATCCTACTCTATGCGGATGTAACCTATTTATGTATATATGAAAAAGATATTCAAGATTAAAGTTGCATTCAAATTATTCATTATCCGCATACTTTTTGGTTACTAAAAAACAAAAATTTGGGTTTCAATTAAGTTTTATTTGAATCAAATAAAAATATATTTGTCTCAACAAATTAAATTTTATTTAGCGCAAATAAAATTTTTATTTAAACTGAATTAATTTTATTTAGAGCAAATGAATATATATATATACGTATAAATTTAATAATATTTCGAATGCATCAGAATGGTAACATTAGCATAGAGGTGTCATTATATAATCATAGAAATATGATAATCCACAATTATGTTAAATTAAAATCATATAGCTTTGGAAAATAATATTCACATACATATTTATTCCTTCAGGCAATGTACGCCATTCAGGATGAAAATATATAGAAAAAAGACGATTTGGAATTCTGCAAGAGGGAATTGAAGAGATAGAGAGAAAGAGAAAAAACAGTGCTAATGCTGACTTCAAAATTGGCATGGAACTTGAGGGTGGGGGTAAGGGAAGACGATGGAAATCCTATGCCAAATTGGTACAATATTTGTTGTGCACTGTATATGTACGTATGCGTATATACATTTCTATGTACACAGTATTCTGCATACAAGGGTTCCGTTTACATCGTGGATTCATCACCTTGTCTTGTTGTCGTGAAGCTGATATTTTGATTACATTCAGAAAATTTATAAGTAAAATCATTTTTATTTCATTGAGAAATTTTTAATCTATCTTTCCCGGGGGTCGATTATGTAATACCATTTCCACTTCCACTTTTACCCTTTCGCTTTCACTTTCACCATTCCACTCCCATCCTTTCACTTATAGAAGTGAAAGTAGAAGAGTAAGGGCAAAAGCGGAAATGGAATCGTGAATTACATAATCGACCCTCTGATTTATTATCCCTTCTCTAGATTATTTTAATAGGGTCAAAATAGAACGCTTTAAATACTTCATTGTGATCATTATATTCATAATCGAGAGGTTTTAATTCTCTAGGGCTGAAAGTAGACATTTTAGTCCTTACATTGCTATGTTTCATAGATGGTCTTATTTTCTTATTTATTTACTACCTTTTTTTCACAGTGGAACTGAATTCAGTTGAATAATTGAATAAATTTATAATAATAAATAAATTTAAATTTATTCAAGAAAACTAGATAATTTATCGGTCTATAAAAATGCTACGATTTTTTTTGTAAGCATATTATATTTATATTTTCTTGAAAACTTCACCTAGCGAATCGCGTCTTGTGTATGAACCATAAAGTAAGTTTACATTTTTTTTCTCGTTCATCAAAAAAAAGAAAGAAAAAGAGAGAGAGAGAGAATTACGTTGGCGCGCAAGTGTTCACGACTGTTGTTTATCGTTGAAACTTTAACTTCAGAAGGTTTGCTATACTTTGAGCCGCAGTAAATGCGCAGGGTCTTATATATAGTTTTAGGCATTTGTAACTAACACTCTGAATTAAAAAAAGTATATTTCAGCTTTTTGGAAATTTAACTTCTTTAACCTACTTTCAAAAGTCTTAGTAAAAAATGTTATATCATGAGTATATCACTTTTATAAAAACATATAGGTATATTTATAAAAATGTTTTATCATTGAGAAAAAACATTTATGATTTAAATTTACAGTTTAATTAAATTGAAATTATTATTATTCTTCTGAGGATAACAATTTCAATTCAATCAGTTTATTTTACTGTTTAAAATTTAAACATTTATGTTATGGAACTGCTATCAAAATTGTATTCAATCGATACTGATAAAACAGTTACAAAAATGTGTGTGTGTGTGTGTGTAATTTCATTCAAGGCAGATTACACATTACCATAACCGTTTTTGATCCCTTGATAGGTCTCTGCGAAACAACGATAATAAGCCATTTGCCTTTAAAATACTTTCAAGTGGAATTAAAGTCTCTCTCACTTAATCCTTCCTAATTTTTGGCATTTTCCATTTTCCACTGATATTCACAACATTTAACTTTAAAATAGAAAAAAAATCTTTCATTTTCTAAACACATTTTTCCTTTTTGTTTCATCAGAAAAACTTTTGCTCAATAATGTAAAAAAGAAAATGAATTATTTATGTTGAATTTATAAAATTTATTACGAATTTCGTTTGATAAAATTATAGAAAGATGAAAAGTACATTTTTGGGAGAGGATGAATATTTTCATCGAATCTTTGAAGGTTTCGTTGTGATTATATCTCTTGAATTTCGTATCCAAAGGTTCGCTAACCTCTGACATGGGGACTAGAAGTTAAACGTTACCACGTTTATTTCACGTTGACGTGACCGCATTTCCTCCTCTTTTCCACTCCCCTCTTCTCTCTCAAGTTGGCTCCTCCATCGATTTCAACCTCAGGGCCCATCGAATAGAATCCATTGGGATTTCAAGGACGAAAGTTACAATTCACATTATAAATTTTTTCTCCTAATTTATTGTATCCGAATTCAACTTGTTCATTATTTATCGTCGACATATTTCAAGAAAACAGAAAAAAGACAATAAAAAAGGAATTATTTTCTATAAAAAAAATAGAATTATTATTATTTTATTTTATTAATATTGTGCAAAGTGGTTTAACAATTTGGAAGTAGTCGAAATGAAATTCCATGATCCTCCAGACGATAATAGTATATAAGGTGAAACTCGAGGAAATTTAACTCATTAATATTTAACAGCTCTTATAGTTTTACTAATGGGACAAGTTGTCACAGACAGAATTAACCGTCGATAGCTCTCAAACTAATTAACTAGATAAGTCTTTGTGATACCTCTGGGTATCTCACTGAAGGTGCTAAGTTTCAAGGAGCCTCCTGAGACGGAAGTCTATGCCATATACATATAATATATATACGTCCTACTTTCCTGTAACCATAAGTTTCGGAACTATCTTTACACAAAAAGAATCTATTTCTACTTTAAAAAAAAAGATTTTCAAAGAAATATGTACGAATCAAAAGGAAAATTTGAGGCTTTTTATGTTACCATTTTGATTGAGAAATTTACAATACGAATTGTGCTATTTAAAAACGTTTAGATAGTCTGACTAAATATTTACCTTTACTACTTATTTCTATGTTATTAAGAATAGGTTTCGTAGACAGAATCTATTATAAAGATTTTAGACAGTATTGGTATACCGAAATTTTTCCACACGGGGAAGATGATATAATGACAACAACAGTGATTGATTTTATGAGTGCGGGGTTAGGTAGAGACAGAGAAGCTTTATCGCATTGGATAAGCCATTATCTAACGACAGAATTGGTGGGACATTAATAGGGAGTTAGTGTCCCGGTTGAAGGAGTAAGAACGAACGATGAGGGGACATAAACGGATGGAGGCAAAATGAGGAGGATGATATCCCAAGAGAGAGAGAGAGAGAGAAGCTTTACAGCCATAGGTGTCCTCGACGATAATTACATTCCTGGAGGCTCTGAACGTGAAGATGTAGCCTAAGAGCTCAGCCGCATAATTTATCTTGAATGGGTTAAGAGAGACGACCAAAAGGCCAATGAAAACTATATAACATAAAAGAGATGGAAGCTGTCTAAGGTCTTTACTCTAAAATGCTCACACATTCTTAAGTATATTTCATCGTCACCATTTTTCATCATATCTGCCGTGTTTTTGAGAAACACAGTAACTACATACAGTTACTAGAATAGTGAAAGATTTAACTGAAATAATTATAATTTTTCTATTCTAGTAATAAATCATTTTTTTTCGTGAATTACATAAAATTTCATGAAAATTACATAAAGGTACAATTATTTATATCGCCCTTTTTACTGCTAACATCAAATTTTTATTGGTTATATTCAATAACGAGTTTTTCAATTAGAATCTCACCACAGTTTTTTTCGTGGCTCACAATATTTTTATAACGTTTACTAAAAATAGAGAGAAAGATATTTTTCAAAAAATAAAAAATTTAAAGAAAGCAATTTCCATGTAATAAACAGATAACGAAACTATTTTTCTTTCTTAGAGAAAAAAAAGAACACAACGAACAGAAAATGATTTTTACAAAATTTTTTTATCTTTTTCTATTTGAAACTGATATTTCCTACAGGAAGTACAAATGTTATAACGTTTTATTAGCTTTCATTAAAAAGAAATACTTTTAAAATATCTAATAATAGAGAGTTCACATATCGTTCGTCGTTTTCGTCCTGAAAATCGTCTTCAAAACGATTATTGTGAAACCGACCTTACTTGGATAAATAATTATTAGATTGAAATAGAAATTTCGTTTTTATTGACGGTTAATTAGTGTGTAATTATGAAAGTTAAA